CGGTGATGAGATCTAAAGAGAGGAAGCCAGGAAACCAGAGGAAGAGAGAGTGCCTGCACCCCAGATGGAAGCCAGACTTTCTACAACCTCATCTCAGAAGGGGCATCCCATCACCTCGTGGTATGTGTTCAGGAGATGTGAGTCGGTAAGAAGGGATTAAACCAGAGAGTAAATGTCATGAGTCAGGGATCATGGACGGGTGGGGAGCATCTTAAAAGCTGTTGGTTACCATGAGGAAAATTCCGACAATCCCAAACACGGAACCATACACAGGGTCAAGCCAGGCTTGTTAAAGAGGCCAGTACTGGCTGGGCATCAGCATGTGGGCTAAAGGATGATGGTTGATCATCTCCCAGAATCTCGGTATCAGTGCTTATTTCTTATGCCACAGGTTGAGATAGACAATGTAGGTGGCTAAGGTACCTGGGTCTACCTTCTTAGATATTTTCTAGAAGCTGACCACATCCTAACGTTTGTCCCTCTGATTCCACCTTCTCAAAAACTCCTCCACAAGTATTTGCTGCACGGATTAGTCTTTGGCACAAAAGGTTCTGACCTCTAGTTGTCGGCACTTTCTTACAGTGGGACCTTCACTCATAAATCCTCCGGGGGCAAAGCTCCAAATATCCACAGTCAGTCACTTCAGGACCGTTCCGTTCCCAGGCTGGTGTGTGAAAGGTTTCTGATCTTATAACGGCATTTCAAGCATCAGCAAGTCAAATGAGGATGCTTGGTCAGAGGTGTGGTGTCGGGGCGAGGCAGAAAAGGCTCACCTTGAGCCTGCTGAACCTGCTCTGTCATATGGCCTGACTCCGACCTTTCAGAATGCCTTGGAGAGCTGTGTGCAGAGGCGGAGTCCTGGAGATGCTTCTAGAAGGAGTCCCACCTTGGCAGGCGCATATTACCCAATTAGCAAGTGAGGTGAAATTGTTCTCTCCAGATTAGTCGATCAGGGCACAGAAGCCCACGCCGACCTTGCTTACCGGGGATGCCATCCCTGTTCCCCCAGCCCCACCCCCAACCTCACTGCTGTTGAGTCGATTCCAACTCAGATCTATTCCAGGGGGCTTCCAGGGCTGTAAATCTTTACAGAAGCAAACTACCTCCTCTTTCCTGCAATGCAGCTAGTGGGTTCAAACTGCCAACCTTTGGGTTAGTAGCCCAGTGCTTAAACCCATTGTTCCACTTAATTGTCTTCATGCAGAGCCCATAGCTGGACCAAGAGGCAGTTGTTGGAATAGAACGATGAGACAACTGCATGGTTTTAAATCAAGCAAAGGGTGTGCCGAGGTTCTATCCTCTCACCGTACTTTTCCATCTGTAGGAGGAGCACATAAGTTGAGAAGCTGGACTCTGGAGAAGAACTAGGCATCAGGAGTGGAAACATGCATAACCTGGCGGATGCAGCTACCCACACTTGCCTGATCTTCCTCTTTCATTGTCCAGCGTGTATATGCCTATCAGGCAATTGAAAATCCCATGGCTGGGGTCAGGTGCACCTTCGTCTTCAAAGTGATATCTTTGCTTTAAAAACACACACGCTTTACTGTCCAGAAAATAATAAATATCCAAACATGTTCTACATGACTGTGAAATGAGCTTATCAATGGCAAATAAAATATTTGTTTTCACTTGCTTTGATTCGTGTCTTTTTTTTTAAATAGAAACTTTTATTTAGAATTAAAGCAAATACTTCAGTATCACAAACACAATATTAAACTTCCAGGAATACAAGCTGAATTGGAGTGAGCGATTATTTGCACAATTACAACATGCGGACACACCTGGGAAGAGGGGGCAGCTGGGGCACCCCAGCCCACCCACAGGGACTCAGCCGGTGGGCAAGGCCATCGGACTGGCCTGCCTCTGCATATGGTGAGGCTGGCGGCTCGGCTACTCCTCCTCTGAGGAGTCCCTCTCCAGCGTGTAGACCATGAAGCAGGCGTCGGGTCTCTTGGGGACAAGGGGATGCCCCGGTCTCACAATCTCAAAGCCCAGAAAGCTGAAGGTACGGAGCAAGGCGGCTCTGTCATCTCTGTTCTTGTGGAAGCAAATGAAATCGTGATCCACGCGGAGCTGCTCCTCAGCAAACTCGAGGAGCACGGCGAGGCTGTCTTTGCTCCCCTCGGGCAGGGCACCACCTGGCATCTCGATGTAGAGGCTGCCGCCGCTCAACACAGCCCTCCTGGTGACATGTTTGGACTCCGTGAGCCTGGACTGGACGTTAAGAATCCTGGTCTTGTCATTAGACGCTAGTTCCTCTGTTACTGTCAGCCGATTATCCTACAGGCGGCGACAGGGCACCCCAGGCCGTGGTGAGGGATCCCACCAGGCTCGGGGCCCAGTGGTCTCTCTGGGAACTGGGGTAGGGTGCCCGTACGGGTCAGCGTACTCACCGAGTAAAATAACTTGGCTGAAAGATTGTGATCCCTCTGACTATCCCCTCGCCCACCTGGGATCTTCAGGGGTGGGTGAGGGGCATCAGGAACACCACCGAGGCCCTGGACCCAGGTTACTACAGCAATTGAGGGGGAGCCTGGAACT